TATGCGAGGTCTTTTGGTTCACAGGTGGAACAAAACCTGAACTGCCTTTCTGCTCCCCAAAAAGGAACGTTATCTTTTATTTTGTCTTTAACATTTTTGTTTATTGCAACATTAAAAGAACCTTATTTTCTTAGCAATTGATCAAAAATTTCTTTCTTTAAAAGCTTTTATCTACACTAAACAAAACCAGAAATGTATCAAACGTGTGTTAATATATGTTAAGCCTAGAGAAGTTCTGTCTTACTATGTTTAATTTTAAGGAAAATATTTTTAAGCCTTTGAATGACAATGGAGTTACCCATCAGCATCAAATAACATTTAGATTAGTGAAGTCATACAATGTAAGTGGGTGGATCTAAAGCAGAAATCTTACTGCACAATTTTTTTTAGCACTGCAAATCTCATTTAAACAGATGGGTAATAAAGTTGTTTGTTGTGAATACTTTGACATGTGGTGGGAGGAACCTGAGTCTCACTCACGACCATCAAATTATCCAATGGGCTACGGCCAGCGCAAAGGTCAGCTTTCTTCAGTTCAATCAAAAAATGGTCACTTTAGGCAGTAAAAAAAAGCAGTTTGTCTCGTTTGGGACCAGGCTTTGGATGTCTGGACATTGCTCACAATGGATCACAACAAAATTAAATTACACAACCTTCTACAGAAGCACCATAGAGAGCATTCTGATCAGCTGTCTCACTGTGTGTTGTGGAGGCTGCAGCTCCTCAGACTGGAAGAATCCCATTAAAGACATTTCATCGAAGCGCTGTATTTCCCCAGCCCTTAACATCATCAATGACCCCTCACTGCCCCATCATGGACTGTTCTCCCTGCTGCCCCCTTGGAAGAGGCTTTAAAGCATTCGATGCAGGCCCAGCAGGTTTTGTAACAGCTTTTTCCCCTTCAATCAAGCCACAAATCGAGCCTCTACTGTAAACACCATATTTGCACTAATTTTCAAATCCCTTTAAATAGAACTAATCTCAGTGTTCTACTGCATTTTGCACCATATTTATTTATTTATTTTTGCACTGCTCTGAACCTTCCATGCCTTAACACTGGTTTTCCTTTTCTCCTACACTGTTTACATTTTGATCACTACTGCACATTATAAATGGAAATGTTCATTTCAATGCTGTAAGCTGCTCATTCGTTGAAAAGCTGTTTGCATCGCCATTTTTTGTACACACAGAGTGTTTACAAAATGTTAATAGTTTGTCTAAGTCTAAATTACTGATAGGCTTACTGAAAACCTTCCCAGATAACTAATAAACTTACACTAAAGGTGCTGCCACAGATTTTATTAAGGAAAATAGTATTCAAAAAACAGAAACAAAATGTGGCAGGTTTTGAGGAAAAAGTAAATATGTTCAAACTTAAGGTACTTTAAAAATAAAAAATGATGTACGTGTATTCAGGCTCTTCTATAACAACGACACATATTAAGAATGCCATAGATCTAATATAATCATGTACCCAGATTTGTGTTTTTTTGTCAGTAGGAGCTGGATATCAGGATATTATCAGGATAGGAGAAAATGTACCGTATCCTATGTTTATCCAAAAAAGTTAAAAAACAATCCACTGGACTTGGTTTCCGAGTTTGAAGATGTTTTTCTTCCCATCCAGGACGCTTTTCAGTTCAAAATGCCAGATTTCAGAGTTCATAGCTTTATATAGTAACCCAAAAACTTGTTTTAGCTTAGAAAACATGTAAATTGAACCAGAAGAACGGGTCCGCCCCTTAGGAAAGGGGAGATGGGGAGTCGTTTTGGGTTATTTGTTTACCTGTAATACTCAGTACTGGTCTATGCCTCTGAAAGGGGGTTGTGAGGGGGAATTGCTTGCTTGGCTGCCCAGGCGAGATGTTTTGTCCCCTGCATGGGGGTGGGAGGTTGAAATGATAGAAACTGCATTGGTTTTTGAGAGCTGAAACCTGAGTCCACCCCCTTTATCCTATGTTATATCTACTTTTTTCCTTTTTTATTAATGCTGCAAACTCAACAGGGCCCTGCCTCTCCCGAGCTCACCACGGTAAGATCCAAGCTGTTAATATTCAGAATTTTAATAAAGAAAGATATCAGATTTGTTAGCATTCTGCCTAAACCCAAGCAACGATATAAATTACATTAAAATGTTACACATTTAACACATCTTAATAAAAGGTGTGGAAATAAAGACATTTTCAACCTTTATTAACTAAACTCATGTTTGTTCCACTCAGCACCCTGAGCCACACTATAAGTGTGCCATCCATGAGGTAAAACAACTCAAAATAGTAAAGAGAAAATTATTTATTTTCCACTTTATGGATGATAATTAATGGAGCTCTAAATGTTTATGCCATCTTCATGTTTATCTGAAGACATTCCTCTACATTCAAGTCCATTGAAGAAATCGTTGGCAGTGTGAAGGTGAGAGTTTTACAAAGACAAATAAAAAACAGCAGTTTCTATTATGTGGGTTCTGATCAATTGTATGTTATATCCCAAGGATAAAGTGACTGGAGGAGTATCAAACACTGAAGGGACCTCTGGATTCGAAAAAAGATCTTTACACAACCAGCCAAACCTGAAATAAACTGATCTTCTCCAAAATACAAAATGTTATCACTTTCCCTCATCAATGTGACGTCCTTCTACTGCTCTCTGGAGTTTCTTTGCAGATTAAGAAATAGAATGTGCAATGTTAAGCGTTTAAGTGAAATTATTTGGATATCAGTAATAAAAGTACTGTGTAAAAATTTTAATACTTTGAAAGTTTCATATTACGATGAAATTTGTTCATGTTAACATGCTGTTTTTGATGTGCTTCTATCTGTCTTTTGAAGTATTACAAAGTATTTTTGTAATATTAGATTTTCCAAGTAAAGGCATTAGCATACGCTCAGTCCAATGTACTTATTGTTGCCAAGTAACTGCTTCATATTACAGAACAAAGAGAAAAATAGAAATTGTTAAAGTGACCTACTACACACATTAAACCCAGTTTCTTCTATTTCATATAAAATCCAACAAGAGGGAGATAGAGGTGTTTTCCTTTTACTGATGACTTGAAAAAATTGATAATAAAATTACCTAACAGTAATCATAATTTTAATCATTTTTTTAATATTATTACAAATACAAATGTTATATATATAATAATACAAACAGAAAATGTTTGGCATACAATACTTCATACTTGACATTAACAGTGTTCATATTAATTTTTAACTGTAATTCTGCTACTCCCTTTTATTTATTTCATGTATTTGAGAAATGTTATATATGATTTCATCTGTAAACCACAAATTATCTTTAAATCCTACACAACCAAAATAGATAAGTTCAGAACCAGGCAGGACTGGTTTAAGATTGAGCGAAAGTCTGGTTGTGTCCAATTTAAACCGGTTTTGCTCTTGAGAATTTGCACAGGCACATTTGTTCCTTTTGATGGCGCCAAAGATTTCGTTTTTATTTTAAAAGTCTTATTAATATTCAGAACAACATAGCCTATGCAAACTAAAATAAAGTTTTAATTAATATAAATATCAAACAATGCTTCGTTGATATGATGTTACACACATCTATCCCATGGAACTGAGAAAAACTTGGCAAAAGATATGTTCCCTGACCGGGAATCGAACCCGGGCCGCGGCGGTGAGAGCGCCGAATCCTAACCACTAGACCACCAGGGAGCTTGTGCTCTCACCACAGTCCGATCTTTTTGAATCCTACACAGGTGGTTTTTGTGGTTGTCTGTACGATGTATTTGGTTTCCAGATAGGATGATGGTCACACTGTTTTCTTTAAAAAAACACTATCGGGATATTTCTCCCTGAAAATGTGCTATCTCTGTCAATGACTGTCTGATAAGCCGATAGACTACAGGACACATTCATGGCTCCTTGCCATCGGGTTAAGTAAAGCTCCTGTAAGCTTCCTAAAAATGCTCTCCTCAGCTGGTGTCACCGTGGCCACTTAATGCATGTCACGGAGCACACGTAGCACGTTCCTGCTTTGAAGCTCCCCACACATAGGCTCCGCCCACAAGCTGAAGACGCCCGCTGTTCTGCTATAAAAGCCTCCGGTGAGGCAGCCTGTGTGACCACAGCATTGCAGTGATCCACAGCAGTCCTTACAGGTTATCGGTCCACAGACGAACCATAGTCATCCTACAGCTACCCTCGCTTCTACTACAAACCATCCATCCACCCTCTCTGTAGGTAAGTCAGATATACAGCCTTTGCTCCATCAAAAATGATTAGAAATAACAAACCATAGATTAATTTTATTTTTATTTTTTTATCTCAATTGTCAAAATCCCTTAAAACAGTTTTGCATGAAAAACATTCTGAATAATCTTTAACTTTATTCTCTTTGCATCAATTGGTAACAAACAAAATGTTATCCTGCATTTTTTTTTTTTAAATGTGTCTGAAGATAAATTAAATTCTCTCAAATTGTGTGTTTGTGCATTAGCTGAGATTATAGGCCACAAAGTGTTTATATAGGTTTGTCTCAGTGAAATCCCCAAATCCGTCTGCTATTTAGAGTTAAGCTGAACAGCTTTAAACTGGTTCTGCAGGCTGACAGCATGTTGCCTAAATCTCAGAACAAAATGAAACCCATTATTTGATTCATGAGGTATATTTAAATATATATATATATATATATATATATATTATATTGGAAGTGGAGTCTAATCTCACTTCCTCTATAATTATGAGGATGACCAAATGTTCTCAAGTGTGCCATGCAGCCAGTGCATGCACCTCAGCCTGGTACACATGTGGGCACGTTCTCTCAACACATTCCTATCATTGAAGTTTGGAGAAACCTGACACTGACAGCCAGCTGCTACTGATTTTAACCCCATGTAGCAGCCAAGAGAACATTAACGGCTTTATTTTTGTTCTGGACTACTTGGCAGGCAAGCAAGAGAGTTCAACAGAAGTATTGACTTTGACTTAATAGACCCCAGATGGGAAATTAGTTCATGTATTTTTTTGTTTTGTTGTTTAATTTATCTTATTTTATTATACTGACCATTTTAACATGTTGGTGTTCCCATAGGTTACTATTTACCCTCTTTGAGTGGTTTTCAAACGCACGACAAAATGGCCGCAATCCCATCAAGTGGCTCTCTTATCGCCACACATGACTACTATAGAAGTAAGTAACGCACGACTTATAGGGCATATATATATATATATATATATATATATATATATATATATATATATATATATATATATATATTATCCTTGTTTATTAAATTGAACCTTTTTTTTTTATCTGGAGAAGTCTACAAAATGTTAACATAACGGTTTCTTTCTCTTAGGACGTCTCGGGTCCAACTCCAGTAGCAGCTCTTGTGGGAGCTCCGAGTACACTGGGGAGGTTATTCCACACCATCCAGGTATGGAAAGGAGCCAACTTTATTACTGCAACATATAAATGAAATTGCATCCCCCTGCATCACAAAGGAGGTTAATATAACATGTGTTTCTTGTAGCACTTCCAAGGCAAGACTCTGGTCACTGGTGGACTTCGTTCTTCTTTGCAAAGCAGAACCAGCTCTCTGTGCAAAATGGCTCTGATCAGAGGTGAGTTGGCTAACATGTGGATAAAACCACCATGTGGGAATATTTATGCTTCGAAATAGATGTTGAACTAAAGCTTGATTTGTATTGTAGGAATGGATCCTTAACAGTGTCCAATGGGCAGGTGACCTGCATCGCCAAGGAAATGGTTAGGACCAGACAACTCAGCGAAAGCAGCGAAAATGGAAAATATGAACCCACGTCCCCTCCACCAACATCTTCCTAGTCCTCATTACCTTATTGTCTAACCCCCCCTTCCTTCCTTTGCACCTTACTCACCATCCACCTGCCACTACTAACATAGTCCACCAGTGGAGATGTAGGATGGTGGTAGCGGTGATGGTGTTTTATTACCTTTAGTTGAATATCTTATTTGTTTTATTGCCTGTATATAGTATGTTTATATCCTGACCAAAAGTTATAAAAAAAAATGTTTATGTGAATTTTTTTGTATTTGTTGTAATAAATTACAACTGATATTATTAAAATGAATTTAGTCACCACATTTGGCTCATATTTATCTTCATTTTAAACCTTGACATAATAAGGACCAAACAACATTGTTTTATGTAAACAGTTTCCCATATTTAGTGTTGTCTTAATCAACATGATGAACCCAGATGAGCTGCAGCTTTATATAACCTACAGAGAGAACACAGCCGACTTAACAATGGACTTAATCTCTTTATAACGTTGACGTGATTAGAAACCATTAATCAGGTAATGCTGTTTATGTAATGTCTTGGTTCGACTTTAATGTGGGTCAGAAGCCTGTGGATGAAGTCAAGGGAATTAGTCATTTAAAATTAATAAGGTGTTATCAATTAATTTAGTTTCCACTTATTGGGCTCACAGTCGGGGTTAGAGGTTCATGTACAATCATATTACGGATGGATGTTTAATTAATCTCATGCTATGAAAGCACATTTATACTGTTCATAACACCAATGACCTCCTTGCTCTTAAAAAAAGAAAACAAGACAGATTAAGTTTGAAACTTTCAATTTAAACAGGGACGCTTATGTACTTTATTCCAAGAAACCTCAACTCCCCTATAGTGTTTTGTCTTCTATGGAATGCAAGTGGGTACAAAACAGCACTTAGGCCTGCAGGATGTTTCTACAAGCATTTATAAATCAACAGGTTGCTTTTAGGAGCCTAATGAATTCCAGCGTCGCCGTTTTAGGATTCTACCGGTGCAATAAATCCAGCCATGAAACAATCAACAATCTTAGGTTTCCTGAAGAAGTTGTGGAGTTGGAAAAAAGTGAGACTAAGGCAATTCTTGCAGGGAAGAACATTTTTATTTGACATCTGTAGACAGAAAAAGCTCTGACTGGGGTGGCTTTTCACCCCTGCATATAAAGAACTTTCTTACACGTGAATATTGGTTATTCCCAACACACACTCCCCACCCCACCAAGGAAATTTCCTGTTAGGTTAATACATCTTCCACTGGGCAGATGGAACTTCTCAGAACAGCCGTCCTCCTGTTCATTCCATGAGGGAGGCTGAGTGAGCTACAACCACTTTATCATTATCTCTCCTGGCCTTTCTTTGGAGCCTTTGACTGAAAATGACATACATCAACATCTACTCCACAGTGAAAGAGATTAACAGTAAAAGTAACAGAGAAACAGCTAAGAAATGGCATTTTCACTGCCGGTCACGGCAAACACAAAATCGGGTTAATGTAGGAGCAACCAGACTTTCACCCCACTGAACAAAAAGGGGATTATTGTGGTTTTAGCTTCTCAGAATCTACACTTCGGTCCTGGAAGTCACACCGAAAAGGTTACAAAAGTGCCCTCATTGTGATTCAAATGGCCAAAGATTACGACTTCCATGACCCAGGAAAACGACGGTTGGGTCTTTAATTTGCATCTGACTTGAGCTTGGGAGGATGGACCTCCATGGTGGTTAAAATCATCAGCACCTAAACTTTAAACAGCTTTAATGACGAAGACTCCTGGATAGGGGTTCATTTGAAAACTGAGCGAAAGTCTGGTCGCCTCTGATTTAGGCCTGTTTTTGAATTCGGTAGACAACTTAAAATCAAAGAGAAAGGTCAGAGGATACTGGGTTGTTGAAGTTTTCAGCTTTCTGCACTGTCAAAACATACAGGTCTCCAAATGTGTGTAGACCTTGGACAAGCTATAAACCTCTACATGCAATGCAGAGGAGAAGATCCTGTGGTTTAAATTGAGCTGCCACAGGAGACCATTAGAGTGGCGAAGCATGCCTCTCTGTCAAGAAATCCTGCTGACTGCTAAATTTCAGCTTCTTTGTGGAGGGAAATATGTTGTCGAGGTTTTTTAGTCAGGAGTTGGGCTCAACTTCTAGTTGAAGGAACTCTAGCATCTAGTTCTGTATGAAAAGCATGAGGATGGGGCCTTTCAGTTCGAACACAACTTTAGGCCCATGCAGAGAGTGAGAACCTTAAACATATCGATGTTGAAGATCATGAGTGACTAATTCATCTTTACTAAACCATGCAGTAAAAACTGTGACCAACTTTGTCTTGTCCAGCACTAGTTTCTGACCCTGCGGATGCAATTCTGAAAGAATAATTTGAAGTGAAACAAACTTCGAATTATAAAGAGGATGATGCTTAAATTCCTCTGTGTTTAGAGTGAGTTAGTACCTTTTGCATTGTAGAGTTTGCATACATCCACCTCAAGTTGGTTAGTAAGGTTTAGGTTAAAGAAATAATTCTAATCTGCTTTGGGATGACTGGAATCTGGTGTGCTACTGTTTGGTTGGAAAGAAAACTAGCATCCACACGGCCCTTTCTGAAACCAGTTTGACACCCATGCTGTACAGGATCTTTGGTGTATTGAGAGGAAGAATTAGCCCCATGCTCCCCTTCAAGCTCAGGTAAAAATGGCAGCTACCAAATGTTATCCTGAGTAATGTTTTTTTGGTCATTAGGTCACAATAACCAGTTTGAAATGGTCATGGTTAAGCTTTCAGATAGAAGAACACTCCACCACCTGTCAAACACGGTTCGGGGAACTGTCATGATTTATTTAAGAGATCTGACCCTCATGCAGAAAAACCACTCAGAGAAAACCAGAGTAAAAGTTTAACGGGTTTATTGAGGAGTTCAAATGGGTTGGATTCAGGGGAACTCAGAGAGCTGGTGAACCGGAACTGGAATTGAGAAGGAAAGTTCACAGAGGTTAGTTAAGGGTCCGTGGGAACTTTGAACGACGTCTTGTAAAAACAGAGATAAACAGGACTCACGATTACGGAGAAAGGTTTCTTCCCAGAATCCAGTCGGTATGGGTTTGTCCAGAGATAGAGGGGCTCGTTGGAGGGTGGACAGGTTTGGTTTGGTTGATTCCTGAGGAGCAGTGGAGCAGACTGCAACTTAGATTTCCTGGAGAACTTGAACGGGAAGTGTGGAGATTACTCCCCTGCTCAGTGTGAAGCTCAAACAATCCTTCCAGGGCGAGAAGGCCAAACATTCAGTATGCAGGATGACTTCCTGCCGAAAGGCAAAAGACAAAAATCACGTTAGAATCAGAGAAACAAAGACTCAGTTAGACTCGGCTAAACTCAGCTTGCCTTGAGTACCCAAAACTGGCAAACACTCTGGCGTCAAAGTAGTGACGGTCCACGGCTTAAGAAGTCCTCAGTAATGAGCCAACCAGGCGCAGGTGTGTGGGAGGACCAACGAGAACAGGGCGCCACCTGGTGGTGGAGGGGGAAAACACAAAAACACAACCCACACAGACTGGATTCCTAACAGTAACGCCATGTTGTCGGACTGCAAAAAAGGCTGTGATCCATGTAATGCCAACAAAACGCTTTCTCTATTAATAATAATTTTCACATTATCAGTTTTTAAAAAGATTAATAAATAACGTTTCTGTCCCCTGCAGAGAAGATTATGGCTTATCCCTCGCCCCCCAGCCACAAACTATTTCAGTTGCTTCTCTCTGGCAGGAGGCTGCGGTTTATCAGGACCAAAACCACACGCCACTAGAACAACAAGGCCC